TTTTTTTTTTTTTTAAGGAAATGACGTGTTCTTTAAAATATGCCAGACTCAATTATGAACTACCTGAAATACTGAATAAACGTTGGTAAAATTTCTTTGAGGTGTGCGATGACATATAACGGGGTCGTCTTAAAGATTTAAGGAGCAGAATTGACAATTGTAAAATTTCAAAGATAAAGGTAATTCGGATGATAAATTAAAGAAAATCGGTAAGATTTTAAAGATAGAATCAAGTTTGAATCTGAAATGTGACAAACTGTCACCTTCAGATAAGGTTTTCTTAATTAATTAAAAATAATTTAACGTAAAAAATAAAAATATTTTTGAATCTCATTTTCGCACGTGCAGGGGGATAAGGGAAAAATCAACAGATTTAAACTACAACATGCTCACAAGGCCCATTTTTATGTGTACAAGCTCACCACCCATTGCTTACCTTTTTAAGAGTGTAAGAAACACTTTGATATATAAAGACTCTACACTTGAGTGGATCAAGCAATATAAAACTATTTTTTTTTAAATATGATATATGCGCAACATGATGTAATATGTGTTACGTGTACATCACTGTTGGTGTATATGATTTTAGTGTGTAAGGCCTTAGAAGTTGTTGCATAGAGAATCTGGCTCGCATACAAAGACACACACTTGCAGGAAATTTGATTATGAGCGAATTGTGTTAAAACAATATTGACTCCCGAAACCCTTTTGACTGAATTCAACCCTAAGCCAATTGTATTTAGTTCAGTCAAACCGCCGTTATATTTCTTTTTATAATTATTTATTATTAAATAGTTTTTAAACTGAAAAAAAATTAATTTAAAATCATTTAGTAATGCATTCTTTATCATAATGTTTTTAAATATATTCTTTATTATTAACTAAATTTATTATAAATTACAAAATCATAAATGAATTTCATTAAATAGTGTAAGAGTAACAAAATTTTATAGTTATTAACAAATTTTAATCAACAATAAAAAGTATATTCAAAAGTGTTTGTCAAAAAAAAGTATTTACAAGATTTTTTTTCAATTAATTTTAACACTTCTATTCATTTATCCTATAAAAATTAAAAAAGTGTATGTAGCATGTAAAAATTAAAAAGATTAAATATATTTGTAGTCTTTTATTTTTTTTATCAAATTTTACTTTTAGTTTTTTGAATAAATTTTTTAGTACTTGAACTTTTCCTTTAATTGACATTTTTTTTGGGTCAATTTTCACTTATATTTTATGTGAGAGTATTTTTATTAATGTATATTTGACAAAAGTATTTTTAGAAGTTTTCTTTTAATGAGAAAATTTTTAGTTTTTTTTTAATAAAAACAAACTCATTATTTTCAATTGAATAAAACTTTCAATACAAGGAAAGCAAGGTTAGTGAAATTGTAATGTTGTATTGTGAATTGTGATTTATTTAATTTTATTAATTAAATAATTTATATCAATGTGTTATTTTAATGTTTTAAATTCTAAAGATTAGAGAATGCTTACGAATTTAGTTATTTGGGGGGTTGTTTTGTATTGAGATCAAAATTAGTCAAATTTAGAGAAAGATATATAAGATTATTTAAGAACTTGAATTCCATAAGTTGATTTCTTAAGAATTATAGAAAAATGTTTTAGAGAGATAATTTCTAAAGTCAAAAAAGTTATTTTGTTTCCCCGATTTCATAAAAGCATCTCAATTCTTCTCTGTAGCAAAGTTGTAGTATTTGATTGGAGATTCGAAGCTTTGAGTGTTGAGAATAAAAGATCGGAGTTGTCGTACGATGAGAGCTCAAAAAGTCCCATTCTTCACCTTTCGTCCTCCTTTTCCTTGATTATAAGAGATTTGAAATAAGGAAAACTTGTAGATTGATCTTTGTTGTGTTGCATGTGTTGATCATTGCATTCATATCAATTCAATTTTAAAAAAATTTAAAAATCATTTAATACTTCATTTCATTAATTCAAATCAATGTATAAAATAATTTTATGATTATCCGTCAATTTTAATTAATGAAATGAAGTATCAAATGATTTATTTTTTTTTAAATTTTGCAAACTTGATCCATACATTAAGAACTTTAAAATATTCGACAGTTGGATTATTGAAACTCGATATAAATTAAAACATGAATTATTGTAAGTTTAAATAAACTTACTCATGAAGTAAACGGATCCCTCACATATATATATATATATATATATATATATATATATATATATATATATATATGTGTAGA